TAAATATATTTAATTGCATAATTTGTTCACAAATGTTGGTTGCTTTACTGACTGTCATGTTTATAAGGAGTATATTTCACTTAAAAATATGTGTTTAAAATGAATAAATAAACAATAATTAATTATTGTGAATGTTATAAATCTTGATAAATTTTAGTGATTTTACCTTGACCTCTAATGCAAGACCGTGATCCCATATAGCCCATACATTATTAGAATTTATCAAAAATAATAATAATAACTACTTTGCAACATTACCATCATCCACAATTAATATTGGGACAGTTCCGATGGTGGCAATTTTGCTTTACGGAAATTAAGCAAATTTCGTCAATTTTGAACCAAAGTAATCCTGACCTTGACCTTATAAGTTAAACGTGACCTTTAACTGCGAAAATAACATCAGAAATGGATTCCTTGAGTCAAACTTGTGTAGAAAAGTGTTATCACACATGATTCTAGGTCCATTAGTTAAAAAGTTGTATTTTGACCCCATATTGTAACCTTGACCCCATATGGTCCAGGCATTATATTAATTTATCAACAATGATAATAATCATTACTATCATCAATAATCAATACGGGGACTCAATACACCTTCACAGCAACACGTACATAATTTTCAGTCAGTTACCGTTGTAAGTGAAATTAGGGTAATTTTGAGCCGAATTAAGTGACCTTGACCTTGACTTTATAAGTTGATCCTGACTTTTAATTGAGAAAGTAACATCAGAAATAGATTCAATGAGTCAACCCTATATAGAAAAAAGCTATCACACATGATTCTAGGCCTATTAGTTAAAAAGTTCTATTTGGCCATGTTAATTATACAAATTAGCTAATTAAAAATGTTCCCCAAAGTTGGCGTTGTGCCAACAAAGCTAATCATCTTCCAGACATGGAGATGAAAACATATCAATAAAAAAACTTGAACTATTAAGAATTTCTTGGTTTGCTATTTTGCAACTGGACTATGGCGCCCGTTGTCAGGAACATAATTAGTCTTAACATTAGTCTTAACATTAACTTTTTCTTTTAGACCGTCGACAGAAACGCTGCAAAGTTATCCGAATAAAAATCGTAGCAGATTTCCTCATAATAATTTTATGAGGAAATCTGCTACGATTTTTATTGCCAACACAACGAAACAAAGTGCTGTCGACGGTCTATGAGAAAATGTTAATGTTAAGACTAATGTTAAGACTAATTTGTTTCTGACAACAGGCCCCTGGTCTCCGCCCAGGGACAACCCACCTCCACCCACCCCCTCCTTATTCTCCTTCTCTTCTTCTTTACTCTTCTCCTACATTTGTTCCTGATTCTCGTCCTATTCCTTATATGCTCCTGCGCCACTGCTTTCTCCTTCTCTTCCTCTAATTGCTCGTTCTCCTTCACTTCCTCTAATTTCTCTTTCTCCTCCACTGCTTCCAGCTCCCTCACCGCTTTTTCCTTCTTCCTCCTCTATCGCTTCCTTTATCGTATCCCACTCATTGACCGCTTTCTGCGCCTTCTCCTCCTCTCCCTTCTCCGCCTTCCACTTTTCCTGTTCATTTTACCGCCACCCACTTTTCCTCTTCCTAAGTATCGCCTTCTCCTTTGGATCTACCTTCTTCTTCTTCTCTTCCTCCCCCTCATCCACCTCCACCTCCTCCGCTCTTTCTCAGGATTCCCTCGTTCTGCCAGATGGATGTTAGTCGTTGCTGGACTCAATTTCCTGCTCTGCTTCCGGTGTTTATATATAGGGACGCGTACGAGCGTGGCATCGCCGCTTGCATCATTCTGCTCCTATACTCCACGCACAGGAGTGTATAATAATAGACTATATATATCAGAAGTTAATAATAATATATTCAATATCTATTCTATTATTATTCACTCCTGACTATATTGTACTATTATTCTACAACATATTATAATAATATATATATAGTATAATATTATGTAGTAATAATTGTACTATTATTCTATGATTACACTCCTGACACACAGGATATACACTCGTCTCGGCGAAGGGGTGTGACGACACGCGTGCGTCGATCACGTGATCGAGTGAGTGTAAGAACAAAAATAAGGGGGGACGTAGAGTATTTTTTCACGATGTATAATTAGGCCTACGATTAGTATTAGCCGTCAGCTATCGATTATATCAATAGATATCGATTATATCGGTAGATATCGATTATATCAATAGATATCGATTATATCGATAGATACCGTTGTTGTCGCGCGCGTGTGAGCGTGTACTCGTGTCGCGATCTGTTCACGATAGATCCGAAATGATGAAGTTGATTGATTATTGATTACCGTTCGATATTTATTAATAAAAGCTAGGCGTTGAAAGCTTGCGATGCTACTGTGCGTGGTTACTGTGGGTTGTCTACTGCATCACACACACTGCTATATATGCGCGACGCCAGCGCCAGCTATCGGCTGAGAAACGTATCCATGTCGGGATATTAGGACACCGTAGAATTACTAGTGGGAGGGGGAAGTACATGTACATGCGCTCCCCTACGTACAAACGTACGAACAAATCTGTCTGCATATACAACCTTAATAAAGGTCTTTACAACCTTTAGCCATTCCCAGTCTCTGTTCCTCAGACTTTAAGTAATACTGTTTAAGGCTGGTAAAATATACTGTCGAATATTATTGGGGTATAACTGTACTGTACAAACCTTTTTACAATACTGTGTACAGTATTCAGTATTTATAAGAGTAATGTTGCACTTCCGTACATTTCGACTTACAAACAAACCCCAAGAACCTATCTTGTTCGTAAGTAGGGGAGCTCCTGCATTGGGAGCGAATTTTTGTTTACTGCTCTACAATACGCTACTATCATAGAAATATATATGTATATATATCAAGAGTACATCTCCTATTATGTACACTTGCTATATATATATATATATATAGACGTCAAACTAGTATAATATTTCTACAATTACCTCAGTCTTCGCTCTCTATTTTGATTAAACTTAAATATACGAAAATCAACATATAATTGCAAACAAACATCAGTACTACTTTTAGCAGATGTGCCCATGTGCGAACACTAGACTCCGACGCTATAAGTTATGCCATAGTATCGGCAAGTTAGAGAGACTGACGCCATATGAAGAGCTAACAATACCTTTATTATTAGTTCCCGTCTATATTGTAGAGAAGTTAGGGAGACTAGGTAATTATATTAATTCAAGTGAAACATTGGTATTATTTTTGATAACAAACTACTAGTGTTCTCTACCTTAATCTCATACCTTCAACAAATCAATGTATAAACATCGATTTGGGATCCCACACACGACACAACAAAACCAAAATAACAAAAACAACGAAACAAACGGTGTGTCGCCATGGTAATGAACGAATCGACACCGATCTGCAGCAAATCAGCAGAAAAACTTTGAAGAGTTGAAAACAACGGAACAGCTCGCGTTTTAGTAATTACTTATATTATCATGAAATATTTCAGATACATGTATTATTCATCACAATAATAGTTAGATTGTGTAGATATTATTTTTTTCATGGATCCACGATCATAATTACCCTAAACACACGCCAGCGGCGGCCGCGTCCCCACGCACGCGCACCACGAGGCAACCGCAGCGCTATCGGCAGCTGCTGCTGCCGCCGCTGCTGCTGCTGCCGCCGCTGCTGCTTGCTAAAATCTGCACACAATGGCATATAACACAATCTCTCTACATCTGTACATGGGGTGTATGAATTCTATTACAATCAATCACTTTGTCAGCGTGCACTGCACACACACACACGCACGCACACACGCACGCACGCAC